AACCCAAAAAACCCCCCACAAACAAACAAACAAAAACCCTCTGTCTCAATTTACACTGGTGCAACTCAACTGAAAAAAAACCCCACAATCTGTAGTACAAATGTCAACAGATGCCTCAATAAATTCTCTTCTCAAACACAAATCTAAAAAAAAAAGATCAGAAATAATCACAACTAACTGTCTGAGACCTGCAAATATAATACTATCGTTCAGAGTGGGCCAAAAGGATTTCCATACACAGGAGAGGAAACATTTACAGCTCACATCTAGCTGGCCATAAACTACAGTCACAAAATACTATTCCCATTGTGTCATTTACTTTGACGGCAGAGAGGAACACGCCTCAACTTCTCTTTTAAAGTATTGCGTTTGGAGCTGATTTCAAACACCAAGAGCAAGGAGCTAACTAAAATATGGTGGATTTATTCCCATTTCTACTTTCCTAACATAAACCCTATTTGTGGACCCATCAAGACCTGTACGTACCTCAGTTATGATGGCCATGTGAACAAATACAGAGTTATTTTAAATGACTCACCCTGTTTCAACGAAAACCAAATTCAGTGCTGCACAAATGCATGTCATTGAGGCACATATGACATGAAAGAGGAAATCTCTGGGTGTGAGGTCTTCACTTTCCTTGTGGCTCTCACAGTTAATCTATTGTCTTGTCATTTACTAATCAGCCTTGTGGCTCTCACAGTTAATCTATTGTCTTGTCATTTACTAATCAGTTGGCGAGTCAATAAGAATGACCCTGCTTTACACCCCCTTATGGACATATTTTGGCCCACCCTGCGAGACAAAACGTACATGAGAACCAATCTTCAGACCAAAAAAATCCCAGAAGTCACTGGTGTCAGGATATATTATATAATATATCATATAATAGAAACAAATAAAATACAATGTATATATACAACCATTACCACAAAACCTCATCTCAGCAAGGGTCATTTTGTGGGGTAGGTCACAGGGGGAATGGGGGCCGGGTCGGGGCATCTCAGCATCTATACACAAGTCAACATCAATTGTGCAACAGACTGACAAGAAAATAAATGTCCCAACATCGTTTCCGATTTGCTTGTCATTTAATTACAGTTACAAGCTTTATTCAATCAGCATATTTCAGAACTGAACAAGCACACACTAGGAGGAAACAAAAGGACATGCCCGGTATTTGAGCTTCATCACCACAGTACACTAGAACAGGTACTTCAAACTTTGTAAATATATCAGATCTCTACAAATGAACAAGCATTTCACACAGACCAACATGGCATTTTGCTTAAAGCTGCATAGAGAGAGGATGAAATAGAAGGGATAACATACTCGAACGTGTAACCCGATGCATCAACAAGCAAAGGCAAGTGGGGGGGAAAAACGTCAGCATCTTACACTTACACTTTCAAACTCCCACTCTCCTTTCTCAAGCTGAAAGAACCATGTCAACAAAGTGATGGAACAAATGACAGGCACAAATAATTAAACCAAATCTCACAGAGAATTGAGAGTTCTTGGGCCAAATAAAAAATACAATGTTGCAATTAGTCAAACCTGAATCCAAATGATTTTACAAAGAGACCAAATCTTATTTTTTCTTTCTGATGAGCTGTCTGGCTCTCCTGTGTCTTATCAAAGACTCCATAGGAATTCATAACTAGCAAATTCTTAAGAAACCAATATAATATCAATGTTAAAGAACTAACGACGATATAACGCTTTTCACTCTTTCCCAAAAACATAACACTTTTAAAAACTTTTTCTCAACATATCCCTGATGTATGGACAATGGAAACCTCCATTTTCAAACACAATCCTATAAATTACATCCTTAGAGACTGAATGACACATCAAAATGACTGGAAACAAAATGAGCCTTTGCAAGTTTATAAACACAGAACCCTAGAATGAAATCCAACAAGTAAAACACAAAAGTAGTGAGGCCAAATACTAGTCCAGAAAAAAGACAAAACGGAGTAAAAATTGTGTAGCATTTGAGAGCCCTTTTGTCAGACGGGAAAACGTGCTGCAGCAAAAAGCCAGTCAAAGCCACATGTACTTTCATAAGAAGAATCAGTGAATAAACTTCTTTATTCAAGTGAGAGTAAACACTGTCACAACCCCAAAAGGCAAATAACACAGTGTTACGCTGACATGTCATCTATTCTTTTATTATAAAGCTTGTGCTACGACAACCTTTGAGGTGTGAAGAGCAAAAAGAGGACCTTGCTCATAGTGAGACTAAGTCTTCATGCCACACAGCTTGATCATGTGTTTCTGATGACATAAGTCACTGTGCCACCAGGTGAACCCTAACCGATGTATTCACCATTTTGTGTATTGGGGCCTTCGTATATTTCAATCTATATACCTTCCATACATGTAGAGAGGAGACGGGAAAGAACAATTCAGCCATTGATTCCTTCCCAGTATTGTGGATAATAGAGCACGAATATTACCCCCCAGACAGAGAATGTCAGCTTAGCTCAACCTCCAGACAGAGAATGTCAGCTTAGCTCAACCTCCAGACAGAGAATGTCAGCTTAGCTCAACCTCCAGACTGAGAATGTAAGCTTAGCTCAACCTCCAGACAGAGAATGTCAGCTCAGCTCAATCTCATAACTGTGGTCCTACTTATTAATAAAAACACTCTAAACCACAGCTGGACTTTTTACAGCAACACCACTACAAAAACAGCCTTTAATTCACACACAGAAATTCAGCATTCTTAGAAACCATTGAATATTCTTAATCGCAATAATGAAACTAGTAATTTGGGAAAGAAAAAATGTCAACACACTACCGAGTTCCCAAGCATACAGCTGCCTCTTCTGTCATGAAAACAAAACGTTGGCAGAACCTCATGGTAGGGGAGTTCTGAAAACACAATTTGGTTTGGATGAGCATCAGATGAAAGCCCAGGATATGGCAGGAACCCGAATGAAGTACTTTCGTTTGTGGAAAAAGATGAAGTCAGCCCATTATTTCCTTCTCATATAAAAACAAGTATAAAATCTGTATTTTGACTACGTACGATTTACTTTTCTGTGAGGAAATCTAAGTAGTCATAAAGACACTTCCTCAAGTTTCTCTGTGTTCCGTCTGTAACAGTCAAATGTCAGTCATATGTTAGTACAGACCTTTAGGCACTTAAGAGCTGAGAGCCATTAGCACCATGTTCAGAAAAGACCAGCTGAACTGTACCCTTCCCCCCCCCCGACATCATAAAGCAAGAAAGATACTCTCTTGGAAATAAGCCTGTGGATCATGGTTTCACAGTCATTGTATCTGGATTCCTTTTCTTTTTCTCCTGTGAGGATAGAGAAACAAATCAAAGAAAACATTTCTCCCACAGTAGTGACTTTGGGACCAGCATTGTGGTGAAATAAAGTATCTGTCTACCCTGAAATGAGAACCACTTCCAGTGACCCATTGATTTACCATCAACCTCCAAGATGGACCAGCGACCAATAATCTGTCATATATAACTCACTTGACCTGATCACATTCTTAAGTCTGCCTTACTTTTACCTTTCAGCGAACTGAATCCATGCTTCAGAGTGCAGTGGTGGAAATCTAGAAATTGTTCGAAGAACGACCATGAGCATGGGTCTTACTTAAAGGCTTGGGGTGGGGGAAGAAGATTAGAATTCAAAGGAGTAAACATCACAGCACTTGTTTCTCGCCAACTGACTAGACTTTCGTTTCTCCCTCACAGCATACAATGACATTTTCCTGTTTCCCGCTTGTTCTAATTGAATGCATCTTCAATTGGAGTAATATTTCAGCTTCTCTATCAATATCTGTTTCTAACTTTACACTTAGTTCTTTTTTACCCCCCCTCCACCATTAAAATGACTTTTTGGGAGAGTTTTATTCAAGTCCCTGTGAAGAGTACATTGTCCTGATTCAAATGATGAACAACTGCTGCATCTCATAACTAGCAACAGAGTCTAAATGTTTCACTGTGAGATTTATAGGTACGATAGTATTCATAACTATCAGAATTGAGGGTAACTATACTCATCATGGACTGGATATGGCTCATGCAATGACCATTTCAACTAAGTGCTCTTTGATTTCAAACTATTAGGGAATGCTCATATAAAAAAACACCAATGAACACCTGAACTATCTCCAATACTTGAGAAATATATTAATTTCAAACTGATTACTGGATAATAAGTCTTCTAAACAATTGTCTTTAAAAAATCACATTCAATTAATATACAGATTTTCATACAGGCCCATCAAAATACACCAATCACTGGGCAAAATTGTAAGTCAACAAAGGTTATATATTACTTTCTACATATTGCATTTTGGGAGAATGAAACCAGAGAGATTATAAAGTCGCATATATTTTTACAAACTTACAATCTGTCGAACGAAATTTGCTTGCCACTTCAGGGGGAATGGTAATAATAATTAAAAAATCACAATTGTCCTTTGACTTTCACGTATTCCATCAAATTTTTCTACTTTCCATCACGTTCATATTCGAGTCCCGAATATTAAAAAATGTACAGTCTGGTTCTTTTTCCTCTCTGCATCATAAAATTCATCGAGTTCGCTGAAGATGTGCACGTCCAGCACTTTTTTACTTTTCGGTTTTCCCTTCTGTAACAGTTCATTTATATGATCACTGAAAGTATTTGAGTCCAGTGACCGTAAGGAACTTTTCGATGAAAATCTCTGAGTCTAATACTGCGATATGAGCCGCTCGGCCGATCATGGTGTTTGCGGTGGAGGGGAGAGAGTGGAACACATCGTAGCGGATCAGAGTACAGTGTGGGGACTGGATAATGGGCTCAAGAATGTTCTGGACCATTTTCCGATACGTTGTGCCTGGGGAAGGGTCAGGAAATAGCCAGATTACATACCAATCAAAAGTTCTACGAATAAGAACAAAAAATGGAGCTTAAAGATCTTTCTCAAATTCAGTAATGCAATATTATTTCTTGAATATAGTTACAAAATACTGCAAAGATGGCGAAAGGCCCAATCTGCCTGAGCTGAGATTCAAAAGGAACGGTAAAGTAGCTTTACTCAAGGACATTGTTAATTAAGACTCAAGGACATTGTTAATTAAGACTCAAGGACATTGTTAATTAAGATCCCAAAGTAAATTCAACAATACAAACAAAGACAATTACACAGGTCTTTCACAAAATAACTTTTCCGAAATCTGTCAATTACTTACCAAATTATTTTCAAATAAAAAGATTTTTCTTAGCTAAATACCAGAGATCTATCATTCATAATGAGAACATGGAGCAGTACATTAATAAAGAACAACTCTATAGAGGGAAAAAAATAGAACGCAGGCTAAACAAAATTAATATCTGTAATGATGACTGAGAAATGTGCTTACCTATAACGCTGTTGTCTTTCTGAGCAGCTTTGCAGATCTCAATACGAGACGAATGATACGGGACATATCTGTCTTGATGAGACCCCACAAGCAACACATGTTTGAAATGCTGCAAAACTGAAAAGGGAAAATAAACAAATGCACAACAGTGAACTAGCAGCAGAGGACAGTCATCATAATTATAATAATAATAATAATATACAGCACTTATGCAGCGCATTTCCACTTTCTAAAAAATGCTCAATGCCCATTACATTCATAAAGGTATCACATTTTTTAAATGAATGGACATGTGTGTATGTAAAACATGGTATCAAATATATATGTACATGAAAAAAAAAATTCTACGAGAAAATAAGTCATGCAGTGAGCCTGGTAATGCCTTTACTAAAAAATGTAGAAAGGGTTTCAACTGGTGAACTCTGTAAATACTAGAGCATAACATTATATTAGGTCATAAAAACAAACAAACTGTCAACGTTATGTTATACTACGTCTCATTCACACAATTCAGATAATGCATGACGTGGGCTGCCTCAACCTTGCCTGTCAAGGCCAACATGGGCTGAAAAGGATACAATGACCCAGCAGACAGATTGACATACAGGAATCCAACTCACATCTTCTTTGAGCAATGACGAAGTGAGTAACTGCTATACTACAAACATCCGTACATAATATGTGATGCAGCGTGGTGGAATCAGGCTCTTGTCAATTTTTGGGCAAGTAGAGTTATTGGTATCATCTTAAAGCTCGTTCATTCGTCTTTATTTGGATGAAAAAAAATATCCATTTATCATGAATACAAGTCGAGACATTTGCGAAAGAAGGAGGTGGGGGTCACTTGTTTTCAGAGGTAAAATGAGTGAGAAAATGGCCGCCAAAGATTAGTTATTTTCTTAGCTTAAGAGTCCGTAGTAACTGAAAATTTACATTTTTTGTGCCTTAAATCAACTTTTTTTCAGAAAAATCCACGCAGAAATGAGTTCTTTAATGGGCATGAAAGGTGTTGAGCCAAAAAACAAAAATTTGATAAAAATTCACAAACCTGCGGAAAAATGCAAGTTTCTTCACTTTGATTATTTTGACGAGAGCCTGATTCTACCACGCTGCCTCACATATATCCATCTCTGGCCTACAGGAAAATGCCTTGTTCAACCCACAGAGGAAACCAATTTGACACATGTGTGCATGCCTATGAAAACAATTGACCTTTGTTATTATTAACTTCAAGGGTCAAAACTTCTCAAAAGAAAAGTTGTTGATTTGTTGTAGCTTATGCCAAGTTGCTGAGGTAACAGCCACATTTCCCCCTCCCCATCCCTCACCTCAAAGAAGCAGCAGACAACATCAGAGAACCCACCAGTCTTTTGAGTAAAGAGAGGAACATCAATACAACAACAGTAAATATGTGAGGCAGCGTGGTGGAATCACGCTCTCGTCAAAATAATCAAAGTGAAGAAACTTGCATTTTTCCGCAGGTTTATCAAATTTTTGTTTTTTGGCTCAACACCTTTCATGCCCATTAAAGAACTAATTTCTGTGTGGATTTTTCCAAAAAACGTTGATTAAAGGCACAAAAAATGTAAACCTTCTGTTACCACAGACTCTTAAGCTAAGGAAATAACCAATCTTTGGCAGCCATTTTCTCACTAATTTTACCTTTGAAAACAGGTAACCCCACCTCCTTCTTTCGCAAATATCTTGACTTGCATTCAAGATAAATGGATATTTTTTTCATCCAAATAAAGACAAATAATTAAGATGATACCAATAACTCTACATGCCCAAAAATTGACGAGAGCCTGATTCCACCACGCTGCATCACATATTAGTCCTAACAACAACCAGCCCCCCCCCCCCCCTAAAATATCAGAAAACAAAACAAAAAAACAAAAAGCTGTGAAACGCAATGTCAAACAAAAGCGCGTTAAAAAAGAAAAGCTTTTTATGGCACTTGCAACACAATAAGGTCTTATAACAGCCGCAGAATAGAGGTGTTACATGAGAGTTACAATTACAAGTAAAGTTGTTCCCACATCCGATCCTGACATTGGGGACTGTCTTGTTAGTGAGACAACTTCCTGGGCCTTCGGCACATTGTGGTAGGGTGGCCAGTTCCTTTCCACGCCGCCTTTGCTTCCCCAACTCGAAGTCAGGTACCTATTACAGCTAGGGGGGGCAGGAGGCGGAAAAAAAATCTGTGTCCGAACCGAGGCTCGAACCCGGACTTTCCGCTTTGGAGGCGAGTGCATAAAAAAAGAGTAGCAAACACAAAAAAGATGGAGAGATAAAGAAGATAGATGTCTGATAGGAAAGAAGAAGTAAACCACACCAGAGCACCCACCAACCACCCATGAGTCCTTCCAACAACCAGCCTCCTCGAAAATATCAAAATACAAAATATACAGCTGTGAAACTAAATGCCAGGCACAAGCCCTCAAATCTGAGGCCAGGGTTCCCACTCATCAAGAAGTAAAAATTTCTGGTTTTTTTCCTGGCTGCTTTCTAGATGTTGTGACCATTTTCAAAGTGAGCTTATATTTTTTTAAGATGACAGAGCTAGGAAGAAGAAAAGAAGAGAAATGCAAGATAAATTATTAACACGGACATGGGCAACCCCTTTTTCTGGGGTGTCAAGGACAAGGGTGATATAATAATTGTAACACAAAGTTGCGATTCCGCCTAATTTACAATGATGGGTAGCTCTTGATTTCCGGGCTTTCTTCCATATATTTTTGATTCCCTTCATTTTCATGGTGATTTCCTGACAGGGCAATCTGAAAATGAAACACTTGGCTTTTTCCCGTTGTTCCGGTAGGGTGGGAACTCTGTGAGGCAAACAAACAATGTAAAACCCTAAAAACAGAGCAGAAAGATCACCTGGTTTCTGGCTCAGTTTGAACAAGAAGGTTTGCCGTGGGTCCGTGTGATCTTTGAGGGACAGCTGCAACAGGGAGCCAGACTTTTTCCACTTTTGCATGAACCACATCCCTGAAAGAAAATAAAATGAAATGCTGCAATAAAAAAACGTACCAAAACAATTATGTGAAAATAAGTGAAACTTCACACAAGACCTGAAGATATGGAACAATTAAAACACCCATGCTCTGTGCATTATATCATCTCTGAAATGCAAACAGAATAAATTTTCTGATACTTCCCAAGCAAGTAACTGCATCAAAAACCTGATATTACAACTAGTTCAGAAGCTTGGACTATAAAAAAAGTCTTACACAATAAGTCCAGTCAGTCAGCACATGGCTAGACTCTTTTTAAACGTTGCAATCATCACCACTCTTCCCCCCCCCCCCTCTTCTTAGAATGAATTTATTTGTAAAGCGTATAGAGCATGCTGTAGAGTGTGGATATGCACTGTATAAATGAAATTATTATTATTATATTATCACTATCATTATTATTAATGAAAGCATTTCATACCCATATTGACCAGTCCACTGGTGTTGTACAGGGTGCCTAGATGCGGCCCAGACAGGGACAGGAGTGTGTACAGCTTGGGCAGCAGGTGGACCATCCTGGGCTGGGCGAGGGTGGAGCGGATGATGATGTTCCCCAGGGAGTGACCCACAAAGCTAGGGGAAGATAGGAACATATAGTATGGTTAAAGTAGCTGGGAATGGATTTGAACAACAGCGGCTAAACAAGCAATAATATGATTGCGAATGACTGTTGTAAAGTTTATTTTACTGCACTTGCAACACAATTAGGTCTCATAAGTGCAGAAGATTTGAGGTGTTACAAGAAAGTAACAAACTCAGAAAAGAAGGAGAGATAAGGAAGACATATGTTTGAAAGGAAAGAAGGAGCAAACCCCACCAGAGCACAGGCCAACCACCCACACTGCAGTTTTACAACAATACATCATTTACACAACTGCATTAAAAAAAACCCAAAAAGATGAACAAAACCAGAAGACTGACCTGATTCTGGTGATGTTGAATCCAAATGTGTCCAGGTAAGACAAAATTTCATCTACTAATCTGTCTGTCATCTTGTCAAAGTCAGCGAAAGTATCTTGCTGTAAAAATAGAGACAAAGATAAGCACAGGTACACAAAAATTAAAGAACTGTCCATCTTCAAATCTTCTTATAAAGTGTAAGACTAAAAAACACAGTTCAAAGAGCCAGACAGTTAAACAAGTGTGTTTAAATATCCCAGAAAGCTGGGTTATAAGCAACTAGAAGATACAGTAAAACCTACAAAATTCAATCAGTCTTGTCTTATACTTACATGACAAGGAAAAACACCAATTTGAATATCCAGAAGGATACCTGCACCCCAACATCATACACACTCCTTTAATTTGATTCAAACGACATCAAAACACACACTGACAGTAGTGAGACTGTGAACAGTGAGACTGTAGGTCGAGCCTGCACCAAAGCACCATTACTAACTAACCAATGCACCATTACTAACTAACCAATGCACCATTACTAACTAACCAATGCACCATTACTAACTAACCAATGCACCATTACTAACTACATTTTGTAAAAGCACAAAGAAAAACGATCTTCAAAATGTTGAAAAGTAAAAAATACCAAAAACAGAACAGTCTTCCTCTTTTAAAAACAACTTTTTTTTTGGAGAAAAGTGTGGCTTGTGCCACATTTAAGACAGGTATTTTACCTCGCTTTTCTCGACCTCTCACCTGGTTTCTCTCTGACATGAGGAACTCCAGCCTGAACCCTGGCAGCGCCATCTCTATGTATGTCCTCACAAGTCTTAAGTCAGCACTGTTACCTATAACAGATAAAAGAATTTTGTTCCATTTTTCAATGTTTTTCATCTTATTTCATTTGTTATAGTTAGAATTTTACGGCACTTACAACACATTTAGGTCAAAGAAGTGCCGAAGAATAAAGGTAATTCAAGAGAGTAAAACACACAAAAAGGAGAGATGAGGGCAATAGATGTTTGATTGGAAAGAAGGAGTAAACCACGCCAGAACATTCACCACAAACACCATAGCTGCCCACCCCTCTCTGTGGCTATCAGGGACAGCCTTGCTCAAAATCAGGGACATTGACTAATTATCAGGGACACCTTACGCATAGTTGTTATACCTTAATTATCAGGTATGCGTATCAGCTAACTTTGACGAAACTGCACACCTGCGAACTCTCCCAAATTTTCGTTGTTTTCCCGAGCAACAGAAATCTTTTTCAATTTTCCGAAATTCACACACAACAAAAAATAATTATAATGTCAATGTCGTCAGAATGCGAAACTGGCCTGCCATGCAGGCCCTAGGCCTGAACCCTTGCACTTTAATACTGTAAATAGGAGAGTAAACCCTATGAGAGTTAGAGGAAGATATCTTAATATTATTATTGCAGACTCATTGACCGTTATAACATGCCCGTGACGTGAAATCATATAACTGTCTTCGAACTCACGGGCCACATTTAATTTCCCCTTGAGTCGATCTCTCTTCAAAATTCCCTATTTTAGATTTTCGACAGTTGGCAGGTCTGAAACTGGTTTGCAACTGTCGTCTGCTAGCGTCGAGGAAAGCTGTTCTGTCGCTCCGTAAAGTTAACGAAGTCTGTAAACCGTCGTAAATCTAGATCTACCTAGATCTAGATCTAGATTCTAGATCTATGCCTAGATCTACATAGCCTATCTAGGCTAGTTTGTGTGAAAGCGGGAGCGACAAAACTAGATAGTGCTGGTCCCCTCTCGCTCTCTCATTAGGCCTTGGCCTAGTGCAAGTGATGTGTGTGGTGAAGGCATCGTGCGATGGTGAAGGTGAGGTAGAGGTGTGTGTGTGTGTGTGTGTGTGTGTGTGGGTGTAGTCCTAGCCATCGTGTGCGTGTAGGCCTACGGTGTGGTGGCCTTGGCCTAGGAGGCCTTGTGTGTGCTGTCACCAGTCACTGTCAGTCGCCAGTCATCATTGCAATGGAATCTGGTTCCCCTCTTCCCTAGGCCAAATTTTTCTGTTTTAGAATAGGAGTATGCTTGCCAAGTTTTTATTTTCTGGGACCATCGGTCAAAATCCGTATTTCCAGGACAACAGCGATTTTTCAAGAAAATCCGTACAAAATACGAATGGCGCGGGACAGTGGGCAGCTATGAAACACCTACCCATGTTTTTACTTTGAAAAAGACACAAGCCTAAAGAAAAAGACACAAGCCTAAAGACAAAGACAATCCAATGGCTCAAAATAAGTCTGTCAACCAACTTTTCAGGAGTTCATGTCCATCACTCTGAGCAGAAACTAAGAAAATAGAGAACAGACAACAGTGAGACAACAAATGTAGGTCACAGACTTATCTTTTACATTTTGTGTCCGAGAAGTAAGTATGAAGAACATGTCTCAAAGATAAAAAAAACTTACAATATGTGTGCTATATCACAGAAGAATAAAAAGAAAACACAAAGTGAACACATTTAAGTGAGCAAACAGATACAGACATTCTCTCAGCAATTCTTTTTTGTCTGAGACAACAGTTAGCATATACTGTACAGCAAAATCACATTCACCAGTCACATAAATGTAAAAACTACAAGTTGAACTTACACGTGGTTGTGAAATGAAACCATGAACACACCAATGAGGTCCCCCCCCCCCTCCCTTCATCAAACACAGGCCGAGTGGCCAAAGAGCTCAAGCTGTAAGGCTGTGGTTCACAATAAAGTCAAGCATATTCTTGTGACGCAGTGTTTAGGTGTGTGGTCACTGGGTCATACCACTGCACCAGACACAAAGGCCTTTTCTCAAAAACAGGCTGTTGCACAGTGTCAACGGCAATATCGTGTTAGTAACGCCTACATTTATGAGACATTTTGTACAATCTGATGTAGATCAATTATCATCTGTATGTCTTGTATTTGCCATAGTAAAAAACATTTCCCCGCAGAGATCGTTTAAAGTGCTACTTGTTAAATCACAAAACTGCTATATCGTGGCAGGAGCGGAGATGGCAACAAACAAAACTTAAAAGAACAAGAGAAGAAGAAGAACCAGATGACATTATAGTTCACGGAAAGTACCCATGCTCTTTTCATTTCTTTCTTCCCCTGAAAAATGAAACAAAGCTAGACTTCATTCTTCACAGCACCAGTGATCAAGCAAAGTAAGTGCCACAAATACATAAGTAATGCAAGAAACAGGAACAAAGCCAACAAAAAAATAAAATAAAATAAAATAAAATGAGCTTAGAATCAAGCAGTTAGAACTCTTTATGAAAGTATTGATTTTGATATTTCAGTTGAGTTCAAGAAGTATGACACGACTGAACCTGCAAAACTTGCGCAAATATCGAGAAACAAACTAAAGCAGAATTGACATTGAAGAAAAAGAAGGGAAATCGACATCAGAGCACCTGCCAACAACTCACAAATGTTTGACAAACTGAAGATATAAAATTCATCTGGAACAGGGAACATAGAAATCTACCCAAACAAAGACATAATTCATTCCCATGGGATGTTTGGGTTCTAAAACCATAAAAGCTGTAGATACTTTTCCTACATAGGAAAATAAAGAAAGGAAAAACCTACTCGTCATAAAGCATTTTTTTGGCAAAAATGAAAAATATGATATTTTCTACAATATCTGTATATTCTCTGTAATTTTTTGTTTCTTTTGTCACACCATACAGAATGGAGGTACTAAGAGGGAAAAGAGTTTTTTATGTGTTCCCATTGGCAAATTTAGTTTTAGTTATTTCTTTCCAATAATGAAAAGCTCATTAACTTAATAACAGTCACTGAACGCCTCAGCAAAGCAAGACTGGCAGACAGAAACAACACAGGGAGAGCAAAACAGTATGACCTACAAGAGGCATCCTCCAACCACCCACGAAGCAACGTTCTGAAACCAAGCGGTCATGTAAAAGAGGAAAACAAAATTGTAGTTCAGACGACAGACGTGTACATTTATTAGATGCAATGTCACATAGTTGATAGCTCTAACGACAAAAGTCAACATTAGCACTCCATTCAGAACAAACTTGTCCTATACATGCCCTAAGCTGACAAAACGCCTTAATAAATTTTTGACCAAATTTTTTTATTCGCTAAATCGATAACCTGACCCTACTTGTTTGAAAAACCCAAAGTGAAACTGTAACTAGTTTTTGAATCAATTACAATTCAAATTTCGGAAAAATGCCTTTTTAAAATGGTTGTGCTTGCCAAACGCCTTTGTATCTCCAAACTGAAGTGAATAAGAAAAAAAAGCGTTTAGTCAGCGTACTGCAGTATAGTACGCACATCCCGCGTCTCCATTCTCCATGGAGCAACATTTGAGTCGAAATTTACTTTAACTTTCAACAATGTACTCACACTGCGCTGTCCATAGCTCACCACAAAGGAAACATTTCCAGAACACTTGATTAAAGGCAAAGAAGGGCAGTGTGACAAAAAGACAAGAACGTTGGCAAAGAATATCCATCCCACGACTAACTATCAACAATATGACAAATGTGATCACAAAAGAACAGAACACAATAAAAATAGAAACGTTTTCAATCAAGAAAATACAGAAAGAAAAAGTAGGGAAAAGAAAGAATTACTTAAACACACTGACCATCCAGTCCATGCACGCAAATGATGAGATGAATGCCTGATCCTGAGTCGTCCAGATCTGCCGGGACTTGGAAGTAGGGAATAGCAGAAGCCAGAGTGGGGCATTCGCTGAAAACAACAACAATAGAACAGAAATGCAGTGCATGGTGCGACATGCTAGGCATTGTGACAGAACAGAATAAATCATCAAGAAAAGGAAAAGGGATGTTTGTAAAAGAAAAGAAATTCATAAAAAGCTATAAATAAATATATGTGAGGCAGCGTGGTGGAATCAGGCTCTCGTCAATTTTTGGGCATGTAGAGTTCTTGGTATCATCTTAAAGCTTGTTCACTTGTCTATATTTGGACGAAAAACATCCATTTATCTTGAATACAAGTCGAGATATTTGAGAATGAAAGAGGTGGGGGTCACCTGTTTTCAGAGGTAAAATAAGTGAGAAAATGGCCGCTAAAGATTAGTTATTTCCTTAGCTTAAGAGTCCGTGGTAACTGAAAATTTACTTGTTTTGTGCCTTTCATCAACGCTTTTCCGAAAAATCCACACAGAAATGAGTTCTTTAATGAGCATGAAAGGTGTTGAACCGAAAAACAAAATTTGATAAAAATTTGCAAACCTGCAGAAAAATGCTAGTTTCTTCACTTCGATTATTTTGACGAGAGCCTGATTCCACTATGCTGCCTCACATATGTAAAAAGAATTCCTCATAAGTGAGTTCCCAAATACTATCTCTCTCTCTCTCTTTCTTCTGGCGCTGTGGCGTCATAAGCGGTCAGCAATGCCGACAGCATGGAGGAACTCAGTCCCAAATACTATCAACATGGGTGCACAAGTCTCAGTAAAAGTGTTCTCAAAGGAAACCCTCTAGAAGTTTCATGGTGACAGAAGAAGAAGAAACGTATTCTAGCCCACTCGATATAGCAGCTCCGAAAAAAATATCAAAATGCAAGCGAGGTGTGATGGATTTTCATCCAAAAAAACAAAAAATCCACTATGCTCGGTTTGTTTGAACGTTATTTCCTCTTCTTTCCGATTCGGAAGAGAGTATCGTTTCACAAGTAGCATAGTCCTAAAAAAACAAATAAGTGTTCTTCCCTCACTTGAAGCAAAATTCCTCAATCAGGATTGGAATGATTTCTTATCTTTGACTACCCAAAAGACAGGGAAATTGTTGAGAAATCAAAAGAAAATTCATTGTTGTGATGTGCAGAGAAACAAATGAGTTTTCATTTGGTATTGTTATTTCAAAATGCCTAAAATTGATGATGTGCCTCACTTAGACCACATAATATTAACTAAAAAGTGTGTGCGGGGCACAGCGAAAAAAAGTTTGCTCCGAGGAGTGGTCACGCGTGTCTCAAACCAGCTCCTCATGGAGACAATTAGCAGGAAGACCCTGAGGTGGACGCTGGAAAGGAGAGATGAGCAGCTATGGACATGTGCCGCCTGCTATGATTCTAGCTCTGGATCCAAGTAAATCCAAGTAAAATATTAACTATCAATATATTCAGTTTGGTACATTCTCAGTTAATATAGCATGCAGTACACTACCTCACAACAACAAGTCAAGGCATGATCTAAAATATGGAACAAGGGAAGAGCAGACCATACTGCACGTTTTTAAAAATATACATATTTTTGGTGTTCACATAAAACTCATACAAAACTGAAAAACAAGGGTTGTGAAATAAAAAAAACACAACTAAACTAGACTATATTTCTTAAAAAGACAACAATGGAACTCATTCTACATGTCAAAAGATATCTGTGAATTCAAGCCAGTGATATATTACAGAAACATTTCAACAATATCTGTCTTGTCATCAGATGTAGTGGTAGTTTTACATTTGACATGATTAAAAAAACAACTCATGCCCTTAAACAAAAGTGAGAAAACTGGTGAGAGTTTAGAGTAAAAAGAAGCACACTGACACAACAACCTTCATTAAATGCCGGGAAAAAGCATGATAGACAGAAAGAAACAAATGAAGAGATTGGCGCTCATATGACCTTACGCAGTTGCGAGTGCCGTCAAACCTCTACTAAAATAAAAACAAATGAAGAGAAAGTAAAGAAGTAGGACCTGTCAGTGGTGCCTTCCAACCACAAGCAAAGGTGAAATGGTCAAAACAAATTCTAAGGTCAAAGACATACACCCTAAAGGCAGCAATTTCCTCTGATAGAAAGCATTAGTACAATAAAAGAGAAACTACAGTTGTCGTGGTGATAAGGTTGTTGTCAACTACATGTTTGTTGGAGTTAAAAGAAGCACACTGACCTAATGATGGCCATTTTGTGCAGGGAAAAAAACAAGACAAACAGACAGAAACATAAGAGGGAAAATAAAGAAGTAGATTCTACCAGTGGCACCCCCCAGTCACTCTCATCAACCACATGTATCAGTCACAGCCAGCATTTATCTAAAAGATCTTTCAATGCATTGTGTGTGTGTGTGTGTGTGTGTGTGTGTGTGTGTGTGTGTGTGTGTGTGTATGTGTATGTGCGTGTATGTCTATCTGTTTGTATGTGTATTTGCATGCGTGCATACAGGTAAGGCACCACTTTTCAGTGGTTACTGAACAGATTCACAGATAATCTCAAACTAAGCCCGAGCTGGACAGCTTCTCCAGATGTTGTCACTCAGACGATGTCTCCTTCAGCCATTCTCAAAGTCTTTCCAAAGGGATCAATAAAGTTGGCTGGGGTTTTCTTTTAATGTAAGAACTTTAGAGCCAATAGGATCTCAATCATACCTGTACAAATATCCTGGAAAGTTCATCTGAAGCTTGAGGCTCTCTCTCAGCTGCACAAAGCTGAGGACATTCAAAGGACAAGGCAGTTTGAGTTTCAGGGAGATATGGGTGGTGCTCAGTGATGCGAGAGTGAGAGAGAGGAGAGAGAGGAAGAGAGAGAGAGAGAGATAGAGAGGGAGGGAGCGAGGGAGGAAGAGAGACAGAAAGAGAGGGAGGGAGAGAGAGAGAGAGAGAGAGAGAGAGAGAGAGAGAGAGAGAGAGAGAGAGAGAAAGAGAGAGAGAGAGAGGGAGACAGACAGAGAGAGATTGAGAGAGATAGAGAAAGAGAGAGAGAGAGAGGGAGGGAGGGAGAAAGGGAGGGAGACAGAGAGGGAGGGAGACAGAGAGAGAGATGAGAGAGATAGAGAGAGAGAGAGAAAAGAAAGAGAGAGAGAGTAAAGATGTGTGACATTGTGTTTATAGCTAGTTCAGTTTCGTCTGACCGCAGTAAAAACAAGGTAAAATGAAATCGCTCGGTTTAACCTTCTCTGATCTTTGCATACGGGTCTCAAAATTGGATGAACAACAGAATCTAAAAGTCCATTCATAAAGATCACTGTGTTTGAAAGTGGGTGTGAGGGCGTGCGCATGAGTAATGTACTCATTTTTGCAGGTGTATAGGTGCATAACTCGGTATCTACAGATTGTGTTGAAGAAGCTGATAAAAGCACAATTAATAAAGTTTATCATGTTTGTCTTATGCAAGATTTTCTTTTTCGGTCATAAATTCTTGTGTGAAATTCAAAAAGCATCCATAAAAACCTACACAAACTTTTTGCTCTCGGAAACCCTGTCATCACCCTTGGTGATCTTTGATGAACTCACTTGACAGTATGCAGGCCAATCACAGAGACCAATTTGGGAGGCTCCGTCTTGCCAGCGTGCGACAGCTCAGGGTAAGATGAGGATGAGGATAACATACGTCTCTTATCATTTCCGTCTGAACTGCTGCTCGAGTTGTTGAAAAAAAAAAGAAAAAGAGACAACAATCAACTTGCTGGTGACATCCAACAGTGGCAGGAAGAATCTACTCACCTCTCCTTTTTGGTTTTTATTTTTGCCCACTGTTTTTCCTTTCCCTCATAACTATGAGATCACTGACTTTTCCACCTGCTTGTTTTTAGCAAAGAGAAGTCCACTTTATTTTTGTAAATCCTGCTTTGAATGAGTAACAACATAAAAAAAACCACAACCAACCCCCCCCAAAAAAAACTTTTAAAAAAGAAACAAAAATAAATAAAAAAAGAAAAAAAAAGCAACATCATTATCTTTTAAAGAGTTGAACAAGGTGTAAATCATTTACAACAGTTTTTAAACATGATTTTGCAATCCCTATACAAGTTCAATCTTTTTAACTTTTCAGTCTTCATATAAGATCAATCCTTTTTATGTCACAATTGCTTTAACCTTAGTACTCCATGCCTTTAATGTTAAGCTTTCAGTTGAAACCCCCTTAACCCCTCGAGACCCATGTAACATGAATCATTAATAACATTTATTATAAGGTGAAAGAGCCTAGAAATCACTATAACGCTTGCCGCTCATCATGCTTTTTGATGCTTGAGGGCTACTTTAATGAACACTTTTAACCACATTCTGTATTTTAGCCTACCTCCCTGGGCATCCAAAATAGTGGTTAAAGGGTTGGGGGGGTGGGGGGGAAGGAGAAAACGAATATGCCGAATATCAAATCGACCTTCCACCACGAAATAAATAAATGTGCCTTAACCCTTTCAATTTTTATACTGCTTTTGTTTGAAGTTTTAGAAAATAACAAATGAAAATGTTCCCAGAAATGACTGGATTGAGTACAATACAAATACAGGCTTGGGTTTAAAACGGCTGGTGTCCTGTTAGGGAAATATACGCGGCTGGGCCTAGGGAAATGTGAACTCTGGAGGGAAATATACGCAGCTGGGCCTAGGGAAATGTGAACTCTGGAGGGAAATATACGTGACTGGGCCTAGGGAAATGTGAACTCTGGAGGGAAATATATGCGACTGGCGCTATGAGGGTTAAGCTTATAATCCCTCTAAATCCATGTACTTCCTTAAAGACCACCTCAATACCCTGCATGCAAAACCTCAGCCCCACTGCTCCCCTCCACTCACCCTTTTCCTTCTTGCCCCTGAGAGTTTTTGTCCTCCTCTTCACAATGGTTCAGGATGTCGGAGTCACTGGCCGCCCTGTGGCCGCTGAACGGACTGCTCTCCTTCTCCAGGTGGATGTTGGACAAGTCCATTACATTGCCTGGGAGGGGGGGGGGGGGAGGGTTGGTGAAGGGAGGGGGGGGAGGGTTGGTGAAGGGTGGAAGGGGGAGAATCTGTCAAACTTCAAAATAGGCCGTGTCACAATAAAACGACCCACAGTAAGCTCAATAAAAGAAGTTTAATTAGAAATTTTATAACGGAAGTTTTATTTAAAGACATTACAAAACAGTTTCATTTATGAAAGAAGTCTGATTAAAGACATTAATAATGACGTCAAACAAAAGAGATTATAAAGGTTTTGTCAATGACATTGTACATGTATAAAGGCTTTTATCAAGGCCAAATATAAAGAAAGTAGTTGTTTTTTTTTTGGTAAGTCTTTCACGGCGCTCGCAACTGCATAAGGTCATATGAGTGCGCAGGACACATTAAAATTTATCAGTTGGAAATTTCGAATTTCGCCAGCATGGCGGCCCAAGACTACTTTTAGACCACCAAATAATAAATTCAACTTGCACACGGGCCCTCAGAGATTTTTCGTCCTTGTCCGAGAAGGCTAGGTGTAGATCTTTCCTACCAGAATATCAGAGGTGTGGCTGAAAGACAGCAGTAAGAAGGAGCCAAGGAGTAGCAGTAGAAAGGCTGCAGAAAGAGTCAGTAGCCCAGATGAGGTGGCAAAGGAGGTGAGGGGGTGGGGGCAGAAAGAGGAGACGGAAACAGACGACAGAACATTGCTAGAGAGCAGGAAAGGAGGTGAAAGCGAACAATTTTAGAGAAGAAAATTTTTTGGTCGCTACCCGGATTCCAACCCGGGACCTTTATTGAGAGGCCAACACCTTAACCTCTAGGCCACGAGACCCCCCTAAGAAAATGTTTGAAGACATAACAAAAAAAGTCTCATTAAAGACATCAAAAAAGTTAAAGATACCTGACAAAAAGTCTTATTAAAGACATTACAAACAGGAGACTCATTTGAGACTTTGTACAACTGGTCTGATTCAAACAATACATGTATTACATAAGTCTTATTGAAGACTAATGTATAAAGGAGGTCTCATTAAAGACTAAAATAACTTAATTATGACATATAACAGGTCTTAAAAGAAATACTACGAGTATAAAGGATGCCTTTTCAAATATATTACAGGTTTGTATGTATGTATGTAGTATAGGGTTTTACGGCGCTCGCAACTGGTAAGGTCATATGAGCGCGCTATTACAGGTTTAAAGGAAGTCTTTTAAAATATATTATAAAAGAAGAAGTGCTATAAAAGATATTACACAGGAAGTTTGATTAAAGACATTATAAAAAGGGAGTCCTGTTTATGGCATTTAAAGATAATTGAAGAACAGAAATTAAATTCAATTTAGGGGTGGATGAATTAAACAATGTCTTTTATATCAAAACAGTATCAGTATTACTGGAAAAAGGAAGACGTACTTGTCAGAAATACCCTCATCATAATATATTCTGAAAGATAATGCAAGCTAACGCTGAAGTTTCAGTATTCTTTTTAAAACTGAACTTATCATTAGCCATCCCATGCACAATTGATCAACGTGTTATAAAAATTAAACAAAATTGTTTTTAAAAAATGAACATCTTCATTTTAATTAGTCAACATAACATCAAAGTGAAAAAAACCCAACATTATATGCATTATATACGTATAACGTATTGCACTTGGGAACTGGAATAACATTCCTTATTTTAATTCTTAGTACAGATTATATTTGTTCCTATTACTTGGGGCCACAGCTTGTAAGGTATGAAGTATGTAACACCTATTACTTGGGGCCACAGCTTGTAAGGTATGAAGTATGTAACACCTATTACTTGGGGCCACAGCTTGTAAGGTATGAAATATGTAACACCTATTACTTGGGGCCACAGCTTGTAAGGTATGAAATATGTAACACCTATTACTTGGGGCCACAGCTTGTAAGGTATGAAGTATGTAACACCTATTACTTGGGGCCACAGCTTGTAAGGTATGAAATATGTAACACCTATTACTTGGGGCCACAGCTTGTAAGGTATGAAGTATGTAACACCTATTACTTGGGGCCACAGCTTGTAAGGTATGAAATATGTAACACCTATTACTTGGGGCCACAGCTTGTAAGGTATGAAATATGTAACACCTATTACTTGGGGCCACAGCTTGTAAGGTATGAAATATGTAACACCTATTACTTGGGGCCACAGCTTGTAAGGTATGAAATATGTAACACCTATTACTTGGGGCCACAGCTTGTAAGGTATGAAATATGTAACACCTATTACTTGGGGCCACAGTTTGTAAGGTATGAAATATGTAGCAAAGCAAACAGTACACACAAACGGTTCACACAAACGTTTTTAAAGCCAGATAATTGAGGATCAGGGTATTAGTGATATGGTATAGCATAGGTTTGACAGCTTTATAAAGGCTGAAAGTTCATTTAAGATGTGGGACCCCCCACTTTAATCAAATATGGTCAAGCCAAGAGATTGTTGAGTCTTAAAATTAACTTAAACCCTGGCATAAAGCAAGATGGCAGATAGAAAGAACTGAGAGACGCCTGCATCATGGGCAGTAATCATGAAACCATTTAAAATATTTTAATCATAAAACATTTCTTCCAGAAAATTGAAAGTCTGAAATATTTTTTTTTGGGGTCTCCACGACGTTTCATTTCTTTCTTCTGTCACTCTGTATGGAGTGATTGGTGCTAGGAGTCACAACAGGAAAAATAACTCCAAGACTAGTGCTGAGATGCTTGGAATCTACATCAATAAGTGGTAAACTCCGATCCTTCCATATGCACATGCTTTTTTGGGAGGATGGGACTAGACTTCCAGAGTCCAACCCTCTGCGGGGAGAACCCCGTCTCTTATCTCACTTATCTGATCTGACCTTGACCCCTGCCCTATCTCACCTTGACCCAGAGAGTCTGCTCCGGTGAACTGAGACCTCTTGTACTCTTCCTTCAGCAGCTCTATAACAGTCAACCTCTGCCGCGGGTCATTGTACGAGCACCGCGCACCTAGGGACAAGACTTCAGTGGTAGGGGACGCAGGTAAACATGTACTCAACACAGGGAAAGCAGGGGGGTGAGGCACTGTGGCAAAAGTATTTCCCAGCCACCCGAGAGACACACCGTAATGAATTAAGTCAGACAGGAATGCGCCAAGGCAAAATCAATGTCCTGTTACCATACAAACACACCATAGCTAATTAATTCAAAACAATGGGCAGCGAATCAAAATAAGGCATAAATCAGTGTGAACAATTTTTTTTTTAGTTACAATATAGTGAATAGCAGTAGTTTAGCGCTTATCCGCATATAACAGTAAGATGTTTTCTCTTCAAAGAATTTTTTGAGTCGATATAGAAGCTTTCAAAATATGAGCATGGTCAGAAATAGAAAGAAAAATCTAAAGTGTGTCTGCTGCAGTAACAAAGCCTAACTCCAATTCTTTTGATTCATCCTGTATTATATGGTCAAGAGTAACTCATTTTTCTTTCTGCAGCAACCATATCTTTTAAATTTTTTTTATTTCCAGACAAAAAAAAAAATCTCAACTCACCCCAAATTCAAACTCATCAGGGCACCTTCATCATTTCCCTCTCAGAAACAAACATATGCCTTAGTTTGACTGGTGGCAAAGTAACTTATTAACAAGTTATAAATTCTTCAGCCATTAATTTGTGAATGAATTCCAGTACAGTACCATTAGTAAAACACAACAAAGATACAATAGACAAACATTGTGTGCTCTCTCGTAGGACATAATTTCTCTGTTAAATCAGTACGGTAACTTGTTGAGCAGAGCTCCATTTTACCATCATCTCAGTCAGCAGAGGGCGACAAAAACTTACAAAAGTAATCAATCTTTTAGTGAAAGAAAAAAAGGATAAAGAAACATCTGAAACCCATCTTTCTTCTGCAATTATAGCGTCCCGGTAATCCAAGGAAGTAGTCACCAGAAAGACCCTTTCTGCACCTGATGTTTCATTCTTAGAAAACAATATTACTTAAAAATGTACCAAATTACTTATAATTGATAATCTACCTTTGCCCCAAAACGAGTATGAAAACCAGAAATATTAAAAGTCTTCATCTGAAACTGCTCTGCTCCAGTTTAAGAGTGAAAACATAGTGAATATTCAACTTAATTTATTAGCCAACAAAAACAATGAAAAAATTTGTTTTTTTAGTAAGCTTATGAATAGAAGGAGCACAGAGTAAATAACAGAATTGTGAATGGGAGCAGCAGTATGTAAAAGCAAAGATCATGAATTACAAGTTAGGTTACTTGGCAGTTTTATGCAAACTCATTTCCAAAAAAATCTGGTCAACTAGGGAATGATTTGCTTTGTCGGGACAGTACTGCCTCTACAGGGAATAGTGTCTGTGCTGTATTGATCATCTTCATTTCATGTTCTGCGATGTTGGTGTAAGCGACTGACCAGATCAATGTCCACTAGAAAATATAAGGTTGGACACAGGAAGAGAGAGAGAGAGGGTACAGGGAGAAGAAACAAAGAGAGAGAGAGAGAGAGAGAGAGAGAGGGAGAGAGAGGGAGAGAGAGACAGTGAGAAAAGGAAGGAGACAAAGAGACAGCAAGAGTTATTTGGAGAAAAAGCAGTAATGTGCTGACATGATTTTCTCTATGTATATTTTGTGCTGCAGGCACTACATTGTCAATTTCTTCTTTTAGTGTATCAGTGAAGTATACATTAACTGATCTTGATTTATCTAATAATCCACAATGTTTGGAACAAGATGAAATACAATAAAGCAGGAAAATCTGACCAGCTGACTCGTTATTAATGGTAACTGATGTTAGAGAAATTAGAGTTAGGGGAATACAAGCTGGAGTTTGGCTTACCCGTGGCAGCTGCCGATTTCTTGGTTGAGGATGAGGCTCCGGCCGAAGGGGACGGAGAGGAGCTCTTCTCTTCCTGTGATGAGATTTCGCTCCCCAAGGCACTATCGTTGTTGCTTTTCATATCCACCAAATCAGAAGATCTTTCTGAGACAGAGGAACCAACGCCTGATGATGATGTCCCTGCAGATGATGGTTTGGAATGTTTGGACGTAGATGATTCTCCTCCCCCACTCACCATGGCCGAGGAAGCTTTTCCGTCTGCTGAGCGAGCGCTGAAATCTTGTCGGTATGTCTCTAGCACGTCATCAAAGCCATTGGCCACATTAGTGTCATCATCGCTGAAGTCATCGTCATTCATGGAAGATATTGCTGTGAGAAGTTTGGACGGGGAGGCTTCCTCTTCCCCTATAGCCTTAGAAAGTCCCTCCGCTAGCTCTTTATAGTCACTTTTGCTCAGACCAGACTTACTCGCCTCCTGTAACGAAAGCTGCTGTTTGGCCTGAGACGAAACTTTGGCTTGAGGAGAACTGTGAGTTTTCGACACATCCTCAGAAGCTGCCTTTGACCCCCCTGCTGCGCTTGGTTCCTGATGACTCGGAGGAATTGGGGGTTTGGAGGTCACGACCTGGGTCGACACACTGACACTACCGCCACTGGTGTCCTTCCCTGCTGACTGGGTCGACACACTGACACTACCGCCACTGGTGTCCTTCCCCGCTGACGAGGGCAACGTCTCGCTGGGGCCACCGACCAGAGTCACATTAGAGTCACTGGGCTCTGACAAAGTACGGGCACCGGACGTTGTGCTATTCTGCCGTTTGGTAGGGGTGCCGGCGGCGGGTGAGCTGGAGACAGAACTCCCCGAGCCCATGACCGACGCGTCTGCTGCTGCGAAATCTGCCAGAGAGTCGGAGCTGCCTCGGTTCATGCAGGCTGATGGAAGAATGGAGGAGAGTGAAGACATGCTGGTTGTTTTGTCCAACTGGGCGTGCACGGCACCTGTGGTCAAACAAACTCAAGTCAATTTTTCCTATAAAAAAGCCAGGGTAGACAGATTTGTCAACTTACATTAAAGGCCTTTGTTAACTTACATTAAAGGCCCAAAACACATGAACTGGAAATATACTTAAATATATCGGAGAGTAAGCAATGATAAAGATACAGTTTTATTTTAAAAGATTATACTTTTATTGAGAATGAAGGCCTGTAGCTTCTACAGATATAGAATATTTTAAAAAAAGGAATATATTATGCTCTTTAAAATCCTTAAAAGTCAATTAAATTTGAGAATGTTGGGAACATATGAAAAAATACCAACATAACATCATTGTTGTATCAATAACAAAATGTTAACCATCATTAAGATTCAAGCATTTATGTACTCATCGGTAAAATGAGATAAGCATATCTGTTCTTGACTTTAGCAAAACTCTACTCCAAAAACCATTTAAAGTCTTATTTATTACCAAGATAAATAGTTGAAACTTCTATACACAACCTCACTATACATACAAGCATCTAACTAATAAAAAATCCACAAAAAATCAATCTTCTGATTTTCATATACTGCTGAAGTACTCACGGCTTGAATGATTCATCCACATATACAAAACTCCTTTTAAGGCATTAATCATAAAAACTCTTTTTTAGAGCAAATGCAGAGTGACAATCAAAACAGAAAACAAGCTGGATACTGAAAACTCACAGCCAAACAGTTAAAAATTGCGCATATAAGCAAAACCAGGAAAATCACTGAGAATTCTCCCACTTATGTGTAGTTTCACTATAGGACAAGCAAGTGAACACAATTCAGGTCATCTAGCACTATGAAAGACTGAGACTGACTGCAAGAAATGGCAGAACGAGAGTAAATAAGTTGGACCAATCAGTCTTATCCTCTTACCGCCCGGGCTCTTACGTAGCTAGTCCCTAGGAGGTTGGAAGAATGTCAAATCTATGGTCGGCATTTGGTCTCACTAAAGAATCACATTTCACATTTACGAAGCTCAGACTCATTCAAGGAAGTCAGTGATGGGTGCTCAAGCAAGACAAATTGTGAGCCAAGTGGAAACAGCCAATATCAGAACACGAAACCCCACCCCCCCAAAAAAAACCCCTCCAGAAAGGAGTCAAGAATCATGACCAATAGATAGAAGTAGTACAAAGAAAAAGGGGCACATGGCATTGGGCCTACTGACAGATTCAGAACAAATCTGGTGTCTTTGTTCTGAAATACTTATCATTCAAAGAAAAGGTGAAGAGAGCTCTCGTTATTTACAACAACCAGACACAACAACTGACACTTTTATTTAGACAGGAGGGTCAATAACTCTGAGATGGAAACAAAATAGAAGGTGCAGACCACATTAGAGCGCCTCCCAATCACCTGCATGGGAAGAAAGCATTCTCAAAAAGCTGACTGGCATCTGCCTATTTCAATGTCCAAACAGAGAACGTTTAGCAGGACAGAATAAATCTTAATAAGCACAACCAACACAACTTCTGATAAATGTCTCTTTAAAGCATAGAGTAAATGTACTTAGCCAAGCAGAAACTCACAACAAAACCAAGAAGCAAAGACTTATATACTCCCCCCCCCCCCAACCCCCAAATACACCCCCCCCCAAAAAAAACCCCCAACCAAAACAAACCCTTTGATATGACAGCAATATGCATTGTGAAAAAAAAAAAGAACCAAGGACATGTAATATGTTTTTAAATAAAACTAAACCTGGTTTGATTACAAATGTATCAAAGGTGCCAGCTTGTTATGTGAGTGTAGGAGTTAACGACACAGCAAACATCATCTTGTTAAGTCTAGATGTTCAAAACGTATCAACCTGCATAGACATGGTTTATATTTACAAAAAGGACATTTGACAACAAATGGAGAGTTAAAGGATCAGTATAGATGTATTCATTTTCATCTTATTAAATGTATCTACAAGCATCTATTCATTTTCATATTATTTGATGTACGAACAAAACATGTATTCACTTTAATCTCATTTAGCATACTAAGACAGCACTGGATTAAAATCTAGAATTTGCATTGTTCTTCAATCTGCCAGGAGTAGTCTCTCTATACTGTCTATATGTATACTGCCCTGTGAAAAGTGCAACCCTCTGTGTCTATCTATATGTAAGGCCTCATGGATATTGGCATTTTTCTGGGGGGTTTGCAATTTTTTTCTAATCTTCTATTTTCGTCTCAACACCTTTCATGTCCTTTTAAAAACACATTTCTGTGTGGATGTTACAGAAAAACGTTCATTAAAGGCACAAAAAATGTAAAAGTTCAGATTCCAGGGACTCTTAAGCTTTGAAAGTCATTTTCTCGCCAATTTTACCTCTGAAATCAGTTGTAAATATCTCGACTTCTATATTCAAGATAGATGGGTACTTTTTCCATCAAAAGCATGACCAACAAACAAGTTTTAATGAGATATCAATAACTCCATATGCCCAAAAATGGATGAGCGCTTGATTCCACCGCGTGGTGACACATTTCTATACGTATATTGCCCTGTGAAAAGAGCAACTTGTCGGTAATTGAGTAAACTGGAGGGTTTGTTGCTTCTAAGAGAGAAAACTGGAGGGTTTGTTGCTTCTAAGAGAGAAAACTGGAGGGATTGTTGCTTCTAAGAGAGAAAACTGGAGGGATTGTTGCTTCTAAGAGAGAAAACTGGAGGGCTTGTTGCTTCTAAGAGAGAAAACTGGAGGGCTTGTTGCTTCTAAGAGAGAAAACTGGAGGGCTTGTTGCTTCTAAGAGAGAAAACTGGAGGGTTTGTTGCTTCTAAGAGAGAAAACTGGAGGGCTTGTTGCTTCTAAGAGAGAAAACTGGAGGGATTGTTGCTTCTAAGAGAGAAAACTGGAGGGTTTGTTGCTTCTAAGAGAGAAAACTGGAGGGATTGTTGCTTCTAAGAGAGAAAACTGGAGGGTTTGTTGCTTCTAAGAGAGAAAACTGGAGGGCTTGTTGCTTCTAAGAGAGAAAACTGGAGGGCTTGTTGCTTCTAAGAGAGAAAACTGGAGGGTTTGTTGCTTCTAAGAGAGAAAACTGGAGGGTTTGTTGCTTCTAAGAGAGAAAACTGGAGGGCTTGTTGCTTCTAAGAGAGAAAACTGGAGGGCTTGTTGCTTCTAAGAGAGAACAAACAATATTTGTGGTCTATTTGGTTGTTGTTGGTTGTGGCAGGGGGTTAGGCCTAGCCTATTGTATTGTTTGGCTGAAAGTGTGAGAGTGAGTAAAGTGTGAGTCTGTGTTCAGTTGTATTGTTTGCAAGTTTATAAAAGCAGTCTGAGTTACTACTGGTGGGACTTTTAGAGGAGAGAGTTGTATCAAGGCAGAGGAGGCCTGCTGAGAGAAGAGGTTGTGAAAAAGGCTAGTTAGAGCCTCGGTTCATTTGTGTGTGAAGTGTGAGATTCCAACAATTTTATTATAAGAGACAGCAACAATTCTCAGACTGGGAGCACACTCTTGTTGAACATAGTGAAACAAAAAGCATTGGTTTAATAAAGACTGACCAGTGAATAGCTGTCTGAACTTGGTAAAAATAAACATACACAGCTTGGACATAATTATTCTGACCAACTATTTATTCTTTAAATTAGAGTTTAAACAGTGAACACTCATTTCTTTCTTTCTGTTAGTTTATCAAAGTTTATCGTGCAGTTCCCGCTTACAGTAAGTACTTCAGAATATTTTAATATCAACTCCAGCCAGGCACATGCTTCATTCGAGCTTCAGTGAGTTCAACAGATACACATCAACACAATATTGGTCATTCAGTGCATTGAAAGATAGGGTGAAAATTGTGTTGAATGACATGGATATGAAACAAAAGAGAGACATAGTATTAACTTGTATTTTGTTTACATATGTGTCATTGTCCAAGGATTCAACAAATTCAAGCTTACTCGCTTACTTTCATCTATTAATATTTTGGCTTTCAGGTAAGCAGTTATTCCCTTTCTGTAAAAACTACAACTGCCACAGGAAAAGAACATTTCTGCCTCAATAAGCACTCAGAAGCTCCATTTCATAAATCAGCATCCTTCACAGGATCTTTGGAGAAGCACATAATTTTTTGTGATTCGTTAATATACAAGTCATCTAAAAGTACTAAAATTATCAATTTTATTCAAATTCTTGTGCTTTGCTATTATTTCATAAATGGCATGGTCAGCTTTTGAACTTTTGAAGATAGTCCTTCAGATAGCCAGGTTTCGCTCTTATTTGCCATTTCCTTGATTATGTAACAGATAATGATTCACAAAACTGAATATTTCTAAACCTCGAACGAAATTCTTTGAGAAAATGAGAAGGAACAAATAAAAATCACTCCTTTGTAGATTTTGGTGCCAAGAGGTAGTGCTTGGCCTCAACAAACATCTTTACAGAACTTGCTCCAACCCGAACGATGACCTCCATCGACTTGTTTCTGCTTTCCACTAAGAGAACAAACAAAGCCATCATGCTTCATGTTCTCTTTTTGGTATCCCAGGTAGTACCCAAAGACAAGTTCCCGATGGTATCATGTTCTCTTTTTGGTATCCTAGGTAGTACCCAAAGACAGGTTCCCGATGGTATCATGTTCTCTTTTTGGTATCCCAGGTAGTACCCAAAGACAAGTTCCCTGAGACAACCACAGCGCATTGTCTTTTTAAGTACAGTTGTGCAAGATGATTCCAGTGATTCATCAATACTATAATACTGTTGTGTCCATAGAAGTTGCTTGACCCTATCTGTACGCCCTGGAGTCATTTTGTAATCCCAGGGTTGTATTCTTCACATTTTTAGAATACTTGCAGAGCGAAGATCTCTTTGAAACTTTCAGTAATTCTCAAAAAATCATTTTGACAGACTACTATGCAAAGCGTACGGATCGGATTAATGAGTAAATTTTCTTTTTGGAAAGTGGTGGCACAGAGTTCCCCACGTCGTATGGATACGATAGTAAAACACGACGTATGGATGGGGTTAAAAATACCTTTCTGTGTTTTAAGTGCTTACAGAAACCAATGAACTTTGGGTTAATTCATTGACATGTTTCACTGCTGTGTGCCCATAACCAAACATGTCCTTTCCTATTATTTATTACATATGTAAGTAACAGCTTACAGGGGTTGAAAAAAATATCTTCTATAGTGCTCAAAATGCATATATGGAACTGATCCATTGTCTCAGAAATTGATTGATGTTCTGGTGTTATCTGCAAGAAACTTACCGGAAACATTTAATTTATGTCATGAAAGTTGTGCAATTAGAACTTGCCACAAAGACAAGGAGAACGGATATGGATTAAAAACAAAAGTTTTGATCAAGTAGGAAGTGCAGAAATTAAAAGAAGGTAATAATAAAAGTAATATTAGATCAAGAATTGACTAGCAGTGACCAAAGGGTGAGGCAATATCAAGACAGGCTGATCTTCCGGTGGCTCGAGGTCACTGTGTAACGTAAAAGAGCATTCAGACGACAGGCTTCTGTGCTTTTCCTCGATCTGTCTTAACAATGATTCTCGATCAATTTCAGCAGCACTTCTAGATAATTTTCTCAAAAGATATATGTTTATCCTCATATCTTCATGGACTTAATGACTTTTGTAATACTCCTGATGAACAGTTTTCTTTTCAAGTGAGCTGCAGACTTGTCATGTACATCCTTCTCATTCCCTCTCGTCCCGACACAACCCTGTATTTCTCTCCTCAATCGTTCTTTCTGGGTTCACTGGGCTTGTTATTCCTTCACCTTCAAAATTTTTCCCACTCAAAACATCTAGAATAACCACTCAGAACTTATGACATTGCAATGACTTCAAAACTTATGCACATTATAAAAGACTGTGGACACACTCCAAAGATGAAAGCAAGCATTTTTATAATATCTTTGGGCCCGTCCAGTACTAAAACCGTAGAGAAATAAAAGGTTGAAAAGAGCTTAATCTATACACAACACAGAAGGATGATCACTAGCACTTCAGAAATGTAATTCACATTCTTTCTTGTTTGCTTTTTACACAAGTATCCTTGCTTTAGACACAAGCATCCACTGTTGGAGCATCTTTTGTCACCAGAAGCTCAGCCCAGAATAAGTAAAAATAGCAACACGACATAAATCCTGAGACATGCAGAGAATTAGAAACATGCAGACAAATAGGGGGAGTAGGAAAAGGCCGAGGAAAAAACGTCAATCGGAAAAAGAGAGGCTATACTCTACTACGACAAGACATGGAAGAAAAGAACGAGTCCCAAATCCCGACCTGGCGAGGTGTCTGGAGAGTCGGGGCTGAACGTGCCCAGCTGAACTGCTCCAGAAGGGACAGTATCTGGGATAGGAATTTTCCGATATCCGATGAGAGTGACCCCTATGGGAGGCTTGGCCTGGCCGTCAGCTTTGGCACCCGCCGCCTCGGCTTCGCTACAGTAGTAGGAGGAGGGCCGCTTGAAGCCCTCCGGCCTGATGTTCTTAATGAACTTCTTCTTGGATGAACGCTTACGCATGTGAGGCGAGCCACTGGCCACGGAGGAGGAGGAGTTGGAGGAGGAGCGCTGCCGAGGGGAGCCCGTGACGTCAGCTGCCGATGTACGACTTGATGCAGCAGCCGACACTTTTTGGTATGCTTCTGCGAGTGGTGAAGGACATAGGGTAAAACTCAGTGACAAGAGTTTGCAGTGCATATCTCAGACTCAGAAACAGAGTCTTCTGTAGAATATCAAAAGCATCGCAACCCCCTCCCCCGCAGAAAAAAAAAAACCAGGTACGCGAATTTTACATTTAGAATTTGAAGTGAAATTCTACTATGCATGTTTTAGGCTTATAATGAAACATGAAGACTTTATGGCGCACAGTAGAAATATGATGTCAAGGTAGAAAATTTGATTTTTAGCGGACAGTTAAAAAACTCTGAAGTCTGATAAAACTCTATCCACCGACTAACGATTATAAAAATTAGGCTCTGCAGATTCAGAGTACGAGTGATGTTTTGACATATGTCCAAGCATGTGTGTTAGCATCAACAGGGAGGATCCACATGATCATGCTAGCAAGGCTCAATTCACGGATATCAGAGCGCACTTTTTAACCGAGTTGTAATAAATTCGCACAAAAAAACATCTGACTGATGACACTGATTATTAATTATAATTGTAAATTGCGGAAGAGAAGTGGTAGGAACGGAATGAATTCTCACAGTACTTATCTGCTAAAACACCAAAACAGGAACTCTCTTGTCACTAACTGATATTTCTCTGACTCTCACAAATAGAAAAAGCGGCAAATATCTTGCCAACAAAAATAATTTAAAAAATAAAATAAAATAAAAAACCTATGGGGTTAAGTTTGGCCAAAATTTCTAAATGCAAGCAAAAAACATGAATTGAACTAACATATTGTAACACATATGATGAGAGCACATACACAAATTTGAGAGAAATGTAAGAAAAAGTAAATTAAGAATGAGTGGTATGTGGGACTAACTTACGGTTCATTTAGAAATAAAAAGGGGGTGCTCTAAAATCACTGTCACCACAATACAGGTTCACAAAATACAAACAAATGTAATAAGAAAAGTCGTGCCATACCACAACGTTAAGAACAGCTAAAGGGCTGAAACAATGTTCTTTGCACGCAAACTTCAACTTCAAAGTGAGGTTCAAAACAAAAGACAAAAAACCCAATTGGCCGAACTACATTAGAACTTACGAGGAGGTGGAGCCCTGGAGTCATGATAAATATCTTCAAATATGATAGGTAGTGAGTTCTCGTCTCCGTCTAGATCCGTGCATTCCACAGACAGGGACGGGAGATTGGAGAAGTAAGGAGAGTTCTTCACCAAACTAGCGAGCGACGAGTGTCCATGGACTCTGTGGAATGGAGAGAAATTAGGTTAGCCAAAACTGTCAAGGAATCTCTATTATAGCCCCTATTTATTTTGGTACGGTAAACTTTAACCTCCCTCCCCCTCCTTTTGGAATTTGCTTGACTTAGCGCACACATCCAGGGGTTGTATTACAATTGAGGCAATATTCTGATTGCTACGATGTCAGGTGTGAAACCGCCCTTTTAAGAATGGGAGGGTTAGAATTTACTTTTAACGACATTTTCACAGCTTTTTAAAATTCTGATTTAAATCATTTTAACAGAAAGACTAGAGAAATACATCTGTGTAGCGTCCACTAGCAGTGAACTTCTTACTGAATCGATTTGAATAATTACAAAGGCATTCTTGAACTTGCGCTCAAGATATATAAACAGTAATAAGATTAGCTATTGGTTTAGACTTTACTTTAAACTGCAATATTAAAAACCACATTTTACCCCATTTTGAAGAAGTACAAAAAAAAAGGATTTTGATTTTTAAAAGAAAGTTTTTTGGTACCTTATACAGACTAACAAAACCCCCCCCCTGAAATAATAGATAGCACTGCAATTAGCATAAGATCAGTCTATGTATCATGTACAACTTGATATTTGCTAAACATGTCACTCACCCAGGATCATAACAAGATAAACAAGATGATTTGTTGTGCTCCATGGTGAAGAAACCCTCGGCAAAACGTCTGATCTGTAAACATACGCAGAACACAACCATGTCATTTCTTCCCCACTTACAACAACAAAAACACAACCTTTATAACAATATATACTTTCTATATGGAAATTAGTCATAAAGTATGCAATACTCGACTATATCAAAGACTTGTAATGGTTTCATGTATTTCTAAAGGATAAAAAAAGCAGCACTGTATATTAAAGGCAGTGATTTCAAAGGCTTGCTCACCACTCTTTGTAAGGCTGCCAGAGTATAGATGGTCCAAATGAGGGACACATTTGTCAATGTGATCCTCAGGTATGGTGGAAGGGGGGAGCAACAACAGCATGGTTTGGGGGGGGGGGGGGGGATCATAAAAGGAGCACAAATTCCAAAACTTATGAAGGCCAAAGCAACTTATTAAATACCAGTCCCCCCCCCCCCCCCCCCCCCTAGAGCAACACAGGAAAGGCATTGTTTGGCTGGACAACAATGCCTTTCAAAGTACATGAACAATATTTTATGAAATCCAGGACACATGAAAACCTAGATGAAGGAAGAGGCTACTAAAAGTGACATCATCAACTGAGCTGACTCACCCTCATATTGTGGTGCTCTCGAGCCAAGTACAGGTGCACCCTCGGCTGCCGCAGCGCGATCTCCAGGAACTGCGCCCACAAGATCACGTTCTCCGCACACAGCTGGGTGATGTCAGTAATGGCAGTCTGGATCAGATCTTCTTCTTCCAACACTCCCTGTGAAAAAGCAGAATCAATACAGCTGAAACTTCTTGTTGTTCTGCTTCATTCAAGACATCTGTTATTTCTCCCTTTTTTTCACAGAATCGTTTTATTGTATGGCTTTTTCTTTTTTATACTTTCAACTAAACAAATCTGAGAAACTATAGGACAATAGTAGTTATAATAGTCCAGCCTGCTCTAACCGCCACCTGTATAAGGCAACCACTTGTACAAACCGCCACTTCCTATTCCCCCTCTTGTGTACTTTTCACATCAAAATGACACTGTGTAAGATGACCACCAGTCTAAGCTTGTAAGATAACCACCAGTCTAAGCGTGTAAGATGACCACCAGTCTAAGCTTGCCACTTTTCTTCGTGATAATGGGTGGCCGTCTTAGACAACTTTGACTGTAATTGCAAGGATGCAAACATCATGATACTTGAATAATTTTAGAAAAGGTCTTTAACTTTAAGTAATAAAAACAATACAGCCATTTATTACTCAGCACAATAACAGCACAAATATTACTGTTCTCAGCGCTGAGACAAAGATTTATATATTAAAGTGAAAGGCATACCTGTACTTTCATAACTGCTTCACCAAGTCGGGTATGACAGTCTTTGCGTTCTGAAGAAAAAGGAGGTTAGTTTTATCAAAATTGTTGTCAGCATTTATAACATTTACAGATAATATGCAAAGGCAAGCCTATCATACAATTTAACAATACATGAAAATAGATGATCGCTTTTCTGAAATCTGAATATCTAAGAAGCTACTAGACATCCATTTGGGGTTTTACAATTTTTAAAAAATAGGCGCTTTTTCTCTAAAGCAAGGCAATCATTAAAAACAATGTAGAATTTCTAATCATTAGAATGCAAACCAGATATGCAAAAAAAAATTTATTGTCAAAGTAGATAAAAACATGCAAGGGCCGCACTCAACAAAGGAGAAATGGTTTATCATGAAACGAAATTCTGCATTCACTTGTAAATCTGTTAAAATCATTTCCTACCTCACAAGGATGACATTTACAAGACAATACAGCACTTAATAAGTAAAGATTAAGTAAGAAACATCTGTACAGAGAAAGAAGTGGCTAACCAGGATCGCTGATTTCTGTTTCAGATCTGGCACTTGAAGAAAGAAAATTTACTGGAGTTGAACCTGCTTTCCGGCCACCCATATAAGATCATCTTGTGTACAAACAGCCACTTCCCATTCCCCTGCGCCCTCCAATTTTTAAAAACATTAAAGTGATGCTGTGTTAGCTATCTACCTGTCTAAAGCAACCACTTTTCTCATTGAAAATATAAAGTCGTCTTAGAAAATTTCGATTTGTATTTACCCAGCTGAAAGCTGTTCCCTGGAATCATGGAGGTGAAAAGCTGCAAGTTCTCCTGAAGGCTCTCGTGTGCGGACAGCAGCAGGTTGCATATAGTCTTGTGCATAAGGTGAGCCTGCTGCATGCGAACACTGCTGGTGCTGGCATTGCTTGATGGGGGCTGAGGGACAAGACAAAATAAGAATAGAACAGACATAGAGCCGAACCTGTCCAAGACAACCATCCATTGTTGAGAAGAAAAGTGGACGTCTGAGACAAGTGCTTCTCTTGGACAGTGTCATTATCATATAATAGAAAAAAACACAAGTGGGGAAAGTTGTCGTTTGTACTGGTGGTTTCCTTGGACAGGTGGTTGTCAGAGCAGTGAAATTGATAAAATATTAATAGAAATTGATATGGTGTTTTCACCAGCATCTCAACACAAAATATATACAAGAGGCATCAAGTCAACTTATCACATTTTCCCTTTCTCACTCACACACTCACTGCTTCCCTCACTACTAACACATTATGAGGTAACTCTATGAACAAACACAGGGTTCATACACATTAAATGAAACAATGAAATATTAGCGCAAACACTTTCTTTGGTGAAATGATTATGTTTTTATTGCTAAAAGTAAAAAGGCTTAAAAAAACCTTTCTTGACTTGTTACTTGAAAGTGAAAAACATATGAGTGCAATTTCCACAGTAGTTCAGCCATGACTGGTAAATTTAGAGAGTACATTCTTCCTAAATGACTGACTATGAAGAATTTTCATTATTTTACCACAAAAGATAGAGCAGAAAGGGTATGCCAAATTTGCATGAAAAAAAGGACTGGAGGGCAATTCTCTTGCATCTCTAACAAGCATCTTGAAAAAAATAGAATCAGTATCTTTCTTTCCGTACGCACACATGCACATACAACACAGACATGAACGCACACAGAGACACATACACAGACACACACACATGCACATACAACACAGACATGAATGCACACACAGACACACACACAGACACACACACATGCACATACAACACAGACATGAACGCACACACAGACACACACACACACACATGCACATACAACACAGACATGAACGCACACACAGACACACTCACACAGGCACACACACAGACACACATATATATCAGGAGAGGTTATGTATGCATAACTCTCAAGTAAATAACTGGGATCAAGGACAATTGAAATTCCTCTTAAAAAAAGCAAAAGCAACACATTCTTACCGATGGTGTAGTCTTCTGACCAAAATATACAACTTCCAAAGTCGACTGTTCTAAATTTTTAGAACTTTTCTGGGTTTTTGGCATGCTGTAGAAGATAGGACAAAAAGACCATGACACAGATTGATTATAGTCTCTTTTATCTACCTGTTCAAAGGTACTGAGAGGATATAAAATGCTCTACAATCTTGTGTATAAACAATCCCTGTTTCACTGGCAGCAGAGCAATTCAAAATATCACTTTCTTATCCTGTCCTCTATTCCTCGATTCTAAAGTAGATCTTTATTCTGCAGAGTTTTATGAGTAAAAGTTATAACGTCAATGTGTCAATGTACTCTGATAATTTCCAAGGCCAGATTTGGGCATTACATTAGTTTTCGGCAATTATCGTAAACAGGTCTCTTTAACCGAGATTTCTTTCATTAGATGAAAAGCTCTCAAAATAAATTCATTCGTTTTAATTTAAAGACCAATTTAGCGAAGCATATCCCACTTCTAAGTTTCATACCAAAAGAGGTTCCCGGCATACTGGGAAAACTTCCTCCACAGATAAAGAGTTACACCCTCAACACACATTTCAGATTATTTAGCAAGCCAAGATCCACTGTAGTTAGGTATAACAGGCAGAAAGCACGTATGTAGAGAAATAAAGAAGAGCTGAAAATAAACTTTTATTTTTTGTTTTACTTTGAATGAACCCGTCGCAGTGGACTGTTAACTTACGTGAGGTATGGCTGGTGAATGGCGATGATGGTGCCGTGTATAACAGTGTCAACAGCTGATAGGTGGAAATAATCAAAGAGAACGGGTAAGGAATGATGAAGTCCCTTGGTAGGGGATATGTGGAGCTGCAGCACGCGAGTGCTCGCCATTTCCATCTTGGATTCCGAGTCTGATCTGTGGACGAAAAAATCCTCTCTGCTTTATGGAAAAGGTAAATGACATGAACAGACAAGGGTTTTATTGTATTAAAAAGGTGAAATAAAACAAAAGATTTCTTCAAATGTCTACACTGAGGTAGACCCCCCCCCCTCCCCCCCGTGGGATAATAACACTTAGAGTATCCTACAAGCTGTGGTTTTTTAAAATTACTCTGATACAGAATTATCATAACACAAGATAAGCTTAAAAGCAGAAGTAATTTCTAAAGGCAGTCTGCTTACACTGTGGGCTTTAACAGTCTTGTTAAGAAGGAGGATCAAAATCATGTCTAGGGGAACCTGACTTAAAACGACATTTAAATTTGAGCAAACATCTAATCTTACAATTGATAGTGAAGTCAAGTATCCAGGTCTCCTGGTATGTTGCATATCTGTCGTCAAAGCTTAAACCTGCTCAGTCACTGTGTGGTATGGCGACATAATAAAAAAGACCTCCACTCACATCTAGTCTATGCTCGTCAAGTCAGAAAAAGGACAAAATACTACCCTATTTCATGAGTTTCCTGTGACAAATCGATAAACTATGAATTTATGTCATTTTTCTTGATCATCAAAACATATCTATAAAATACGTGATAGACTGTATACATACGACTCTTCATCTTCGAAACACCACAGCTGAACCTCCAGCCTCAGGTCCAGGTTCTCCAAGTTTTTCTCCAGCTGAAAGACACACAAAGGGATATTTGTGTCTTACTCCATCACTGACACAATTTAGATCATTTAGGAGAAAGGCTGCTTTGACCCCACCCAGTCAAGTACTGAGTAGGGATACAGCAAGCCGAGAAGAAAGGAAGGGGTACTTGATAAAACTACTTTCCCATTCAGGAACTGAACTCAAGTTTTGAGCACAAAACAGTGAACAACCCAACCTTTACTTCGTAAACACCTGTGCCCGTGGGGAAAAGATAAACGCTAATATGTATAGCAGTACAGTATGGTTTAATGCCACTTCCAGCACCATAAAGTTTCACTTCAAAGGCAAGATCACTGGTTTCAACGACCATCTCCCATGTGACTTGGCCTAGTGGCTGAAGAGTAATGGGAGCAACAAGAACAATCTAAATAATCTAAATACATGAACATCCGCATGGACTAGTTTAGTTTAAGTAAGAGTTTTACCACACTTGAAACACAATTAGATCATATAAATGCTGAAGATTGGAGGTGATACTAGAGTTTAACTTATGGAGAAAAGAGAGATGATGATGCTAGGTAGGGGTTCAAACTGTGTTCATATAATTGTTGCCCAATACAAAATCAATCGAGTTCACGGTGTGCTCACAATGAAAGATGGACGAGGCATTAATAAGGACAGGGGTAACAGAGTGCGAGTGCAAGAACAGAGAAGCACATCATCATGAGGATGGTCATTTAGTTTGAGTTTGATTAAAGAGAAGCACATTGACAGAGTAGTGGTCATTTAGAGCTGGGGAGAAGACAGACAGTCAACAACAACAGAGGGAAAGTGAAGAAATAAGACATACCAGTGGCACCCTCCAACCACCCACAATGGTCGTTAAGTGCAGGGAAAAAGATTGACAGATGGACAAAAACAACAGAAGGGAGAGAAGAAGGAAGAACTTCCAGTGGTACCTTTGAATCACCTGCACTTAGGTCTTGTCCCCGTCAAAATATAAAAAAGGATAGAAGAATGTAGAAGAACTTGATGAAAAGAACAGAATAGAAATAACATAAAGAAAGAGACTGGTGTGCATACAGCACTGTGCAAAGAAGGATGTGACAGAAAGAACAAAATAAAAAGAGCTGAAGACCGAGACGTGACAGAAAGAACAAAATAGGTAGAAATTGGGGGGCGGGGAGGACAGAGAGAGAGAGAGAGAGAGAGAGAGAGAGAGAGAGAGAGAGAGAGAGAGAGAGAGAGAGAGAGAGTGGCAACAAAAAGCAGCAAGTGAAGAAGTATGCGATAGAAAGAACAGAACATCTAAGACTGACGTGGGCACGGCACTCCACTCCGTCGCCCACCGTACCTTGCTGCTCTCCACCAGAGTGTGGATTCTGTAGACAAAGATGTCGCCCACGTCCACCTCTTCATTACGGTACAGGATCTCAAACTTCCGGCTCTGTCCCGTGCAGCTACGCCTGAAGGCTGCATTATTTTCGGGGGAACCTGAAAAAAGAGTTGGAGGAATTGCATTGTGTAAGGCCCCATAGACTAGGCTACCGTACTCGCAATCGCGAGATTGTGGGTTCGGGGGGTTCGACCCTCAGCTCGGTCTGATGTTGTGTCCTTGGGAAAGGTACTTTACACGAACTTCCCATTTGGCATGGTCCCTTCGGAGATGGACATTAAACTCAAAGGTCCCATCTCTTAAATAACATAATAATGTTGGCCTGGGCATTAAACCTATACACGTACCATACGTGCCCCATTGACGTAATTTAGACTATTTAAGAGGCAGGCTGCTTCGACGCTGCCTTAAATAGTGTCAACCAAGGCGGTAAAAATTAAAAAAGAAAATAAGCCCATTCAAATTTATTAAGTCTTGCGTGTCATGGCTCGTGAAAATGTCATCTAACCAACTTGAAATAACAATGTTATTATTGTGAAGATTTTACGCTTGCATGGACATATGTAGGCCATAAAGGAGGCGGGCTGCTTCGACCCTTCCTGTCAGGCCAACCAGGGCTGAGTGGGATGGGATGCAAGGCGGAGATATCTGATGAAACAACTATGCCAATCGGGAACCGAAGTCGGGTTTTCAGCAAAAAGACTAACTGTTACTGTTACCGTGTATAATTTAATGCTTGTCAGGTTAAAACGGAGGAGAGAAAGCAACAGACTTCTTACAACTTGTAAAATTTTGAGACAAAATTTATTAACTCAACTCACACTAGCCTTAGTTTTCCGGACCCACCAGTATTCAGGGTGTAGGAGAAGAGTGAGGAGGAAAGAGGAATAAGGCGAGGATGAGGAGGGGGGGGGGGGCAAGGAGGATCAGAAGCAGCGAAAAAATGTGCGAAATTGCAGAGGCTTAACGCCCCTAGCATCACAGTAAGGGTATTGGAGAGGCTCGCTGGACCTCCAAATTTAACGCCCATCTCCGATAGGACCGAGCCAAATGGGAAATTTTGTGTCAAGTGCCATTCCCAAGGACACAACATCGGACCGAGATGAGGCTCGCACCCAGGAGTCCCTGGGGAAAAACAAAACAAAAACAACC